GAGAACCAACCAACTGTTTGAAGGTTGTAGCGTCCACATCCTTTCCATCAGATTCAGAATCCAGTTTCTGATTTGTATCAGAAGGTGTGTCAGCAATCTTACAATTCTTCAGTTGAAATCTCTTCAGAAGTTCTAATTCATACTTGAGCTGATGCAAAATGATACCTTTATCAGAATATCTGAACTCCATCCCTAGAAAGTATGTCATTTTGCCTAGATCAGTCATTTCGAATTCATTCATCAGAACTTTCTTGAACTTGGCTATCTCCTGTTCAGAACTTCCAGTCAGTAGTATGTCATCAATATATAAACACACCAGAGTCATATTGCCTTCAGAAGTATGTTGAACATAAACACCGTACTCCATCTCACATTTCTGAAAGCCTTGCTTCTTGAAAAATGGATCAATCTTCTGATTCCAAGCTCTGGGCGCTTGTTTCAGTCCATATAGAGCTTTGTATAATCTGTACACCATCCCTTCCTGATTCTTTTTCACAAATCCAGGAGGTTGTGACACATAAACTTCTTCTTCTAATGGATCATTCAGAAATGCAGATTTTACATCTAAATGCATCAGAGGCCAATTCCTGTTAGCAGCTATTGCAATCACCATTCTGATTGTTTCATGTCTTGCTACAGGTGCAAACACTTCATAATAATCCAACCCAGGTTTCTGTAGAAATCCTCTGGCTACCAACCTTGCTTTATGTTTGCCAATTGAACCATCTGGCTTTAACTTCTGCTTGAAAACCCATCTGACGCTGATGGCTTTCTTGTCTTTTGGAAGTTCTGTCAGCTTCCAAGTCTTGTTTCTCTCTATAGCATCAAGTTCTTCTTTCATGGCCTTCAGCCAGAGCTTCTGCTTAAGAGCCTCTTTTGTACTTATGGGTTCAGAGTTTACTATCATGGCACACTGAATAACTTCTCCTTTAGAGTCTACTTCAGTGTCTTGCAGCATGTCAAATTCTGCATATCTTCTGAGGACGTTTCTTATTCTTTGTGGTCTCTGAACTTGTTCAGAGTCTTGAGCTTCAGAGTTTCTAGCTTCAGATGATTGACTTCCTCCAGAGCTTTGACCATCTTTAGAGTTTGGCATATTTCCAGAGTCTGAATTGCCACCAAAATCTGGATCATCAGAGTCACCTTCATCTTCTGAGTCTTCTCCAGAGTCTGAATCACTATTAGAGTCAGAGTCAATGTCAGAGTTTACTCCAACTTCAGAAATTCTTAACTCTGACCTTTCTTCAGAAGTTCTAACATTAGAATCAGATTGAGACTTATCCCAATTCCAAACTTCTGATTCCTTCACAATCACATCTCTGCTGAATTCAATTTTATTGGTTTCTGGACAATAGAGCTTGTATGCACTTGTACTGTGGTACCCTATCAGAATCATCACTTTGCTTCTATCATCCAGCTTCTGTCTTCTGGCTTCTAGAACATGTTTATAGCAAACAGAACCAAACACCTTTAGATGACTAACACTTTGCTTATCTCCAGTCCACTTTTGTATTGGAACTATTTCCTTCAACTTCTTCGTAGGACATCGGTTGAGTACATACGTTGCAGTGGCAACAACTTATCCCCAGAGCTTATGAGGAAACTTCTTCTCCTTTAGCATGCTTCTCACCATATCAAGCAAAGTGTGGTTTCTTCTTTCAGCAAGACCATTGTGTTGAGGGGTATAAGGAGCAGTAACCTCATGCTCAATTCCATTCTCCTCACAGAACTTCTGGAACTCTTTGGAGTTATACTCACCTTCACCGTCAGTTTTAAGAATCTTCAACTTCTGACCACTTTGATTCTCAGCCTTCATTCTGAACTTCTTGAATTCATCAAACACCTCGTGTTTAAACTTAATAAGCGATACCCATGTCATTCTTGTGAATTCATCAACAAACAACACAATATTTATTCCCTCCAATCGATGCTACTGGAAATGGACCACACACATCAGAATGTACAACTCCCAAGGCATGTTTTGCTCTTGGAGCAGCTTCTGACGCAAATGGCAATCATGGTTGTTTTCCTTCCATGCAAACTTTGCATGACTTTTCAGGCTTCTTAATTGCAGGAATTCCATGTACCAACTTCTTTAAATTCAGATGTTTTAAGCTTCTGAAATTCAAATGACCGAATCTTCTGTGCCACAACTCACTCTCCTTCTCAGCACATGTTGCACTAAGACATTATGAGTCTGCAGTTCTGACATTCACCTTGAATGTTCTATTCCTTCCCTGTTCTGACTCCATAATCAACTTCTGATTGCAGTCATACAGCTTCAGAAGATTTTCCTTCATGGTAACTGAAAAACCTTTCTCCATTAATTGTCCCACACTCATCAGATTGCTTCTGATGCCATGTACATATCACACGTTCTGAATCAATGATGTTTTCCCATTGTTCAGAATCACTCTGACATTTCCCATACCTTCTGCGTTAAGATATTTGTCATCAGCACATATGATCTTTGTTCTCTTTTTAGAGTCAAAGTCAACCAACCATTTCTTGTTTCCAGTAAGATGATTTGAACATCCAGTGTCCATATACCACCAGTCTGTCAGATCCATATCATAAGATTCAGAGGCCATCAATAGCACAGATTCATCATCAGAAATTCTGGCTATATTTGCTTCTTCTGATTTTCTCTCCTTGTTTGACCAACAATCTCTAGCAAAGTGACCAAACTTCTTACAACAGTAACATTGGATTTTCTTCTTGTCATACTTCTCTTTTCCCTTCTGAGCATTCTTTTGTCTATCAGAGGTTGAGCTTTCTGACCACCATCAGATCTTCTCCTAGCTTCTAACTGCTTCTGATACCTCCTATCAGAAGTTACTTTCAGAGCCTTATGCTCTACTTCCTTTTCAAAAGTTCTCTCAGTCAAACGCAACTCTTGCGCTTCTAGACTGCTCTGCAGCTCTTCAATTCTCATGGTGCTCAGATCTTTGGAATGTTTTATTGCTACCATAATGTAATCAAATTGAGAGGTAAGGGATCTCAATAATTTCTCCATGATTTCTTCTTCAAAAAGAGTTTCTCCACACGCCTTCATCTCATTAGTGATCAGAATCATTCTGGAGATTTATTCAGAGACTTTCTCATTATTCTTCATGTTGAGATTCTCATATTGCTTTCTTAAGGACTGAAGCTTCACCTTCTTCACTGATGTGTCACCACTATAACATCTCACCAGTGTGTCCCACGCAGCCTTTGCTGTCGTTGAATCTTAAATCTTCTCAAACACATTTACATCCACACGTTGATGAATGAAGAACAATGCTTTCTAATCCTTCTTCCTTACTTCCTTCTGCGTGTTTTTCTGTTCATCCGTCGCATCTGCTGCTACCGGAACATAACCATCAGTGACAAGATCTAGAACATCTTGAGCACCAAACAGTACATGCATTTGGATCATCCAACGATTCCAGTTTTTACCGTCAAATACTAGAAGTTTGGTGTTCATGTTGCTGTTTCCGTTCATCTTCTACCTTGCACAGTACACTCAGCTTTCTCACACAGTGTTTCCCAACCCACAGAATTAAAATTCTGATCAGATTTTGTTCAAGGTTCAACACGAATATAAGAAACAAAATCAAACACACAAGGCCTCACGTTCACTCGTGTTTCTCGTGTTTCCAAATGAATCCAAACCGGAGCTCTAGATTCCAATTGTTGGTGCAAAGGTGAATAAATGATGAACAAAGGAAATATTCTATTAAAGAGAATGACGGCTACACAACTCACTCAACATTACAATGATTGCAAACCTATTTATAAGATAAAACTAGGGTTACTAGAATAAGATAAAATACTAAAATACCCTCTAACAAACTTAGGGACTAAGTAATAATACAACTAAATATGAATTACTTCTAATAAATCCCATGGTGGTGACTGTGAATCTCGATGATACAATGTGAGCTATACAATCAGAAGTTGTGGTGGTGAATGAATCTCTAGATGGTGGTAGTTAATATGAAGAAGATGAGAGGAATGAGATACATCATGAAACCTTAGGTGAATCGCCTGTAACACGAATTGAAGACAATCATGAGAAGAAGAAGCTTTGGTTTAATGTTATTAATGAAAACAGGAACCATGCGAAGGGATTAATGATGGAATTTGTGGCACCAAAAGTGATTGATTGCGAAACTAAAATCGAGATTGAAGCTGCTGATATTGAGTCGGAAATTAAATTTTGGGAAACTGCTCTCATCATGCATGTTTAGGGTGATGAACTCAGTATGAACGCAGTCAATCAGTATATGTTGAAGCAATAAAACTTTTTGAAATTACTAGATATGTTCTATAATGAGGATGGGTTTTTCATATTACGAGATCACTCATTCCATGGCAAAGATTTAGTGTGATGAAAGAACCCTACACAATCCACAACAGACCTATGTTATTGCGTGAATGGAAGCCAGATTTCAACTTGCAAAGGGATATGCTCAGAACTATACCACTTTGGGTGAAGCTCCCTCAACTGCCATTGCATTTATGGGGAGCTTGAAGCTTGAGTAAGATAGGCAGTGCTATTGGGACGCCATTGGTGATAGATAAATGCACTGCTAATAAGCTTAGAGTCTCGTATGCTCACATTCTTATGGAAGTTGACATCACACAAGAGCTGAAAAAAGATATTGCGATCAAAGATGCAGAAGGGTGTCCTATGAAGCAGCTTATTGAATATGAATGCAAACCATTATATTGTACAAGGTGTCAAAAGTTAGGGCATAATTGTGACAAACCAAAGAATCCTAGCAAGGAATTGAGACCTAAAGTGGTTGAGCCAAAAGAAAAGATGGAGGTCATTCCTACCGTTATGGTTTCTAATGAGGCCGTAATGTTGAAAATGAAGAATGGACAACTGTCACCGGAAACAAAAGAGATAAAGGAAAAAGAGTTGTCAATGAAGGAACATCCATCCAATGTAAAAATGGTTTTAGACTTCTAGCGATTTTGAATGATCCCTTAGTAAGTCATAATAGTGTCTCATGATTGTATCTTGGAACATAAGGGGACTAAATAAAGCGGTTAAGACAAAAGAGGTTAGCTTCCGCCTTCTTACTCTTAACCTCATGATTGTTGTATTGATTAAGACTAGAGTTAAAAAAGATAAATCTGATAAAGTGAGAAGTAAGATCAAGCTTAGAGGCTCCTGCATAGATAACTACCAAACCCATGATAATGGTAAGCTGTGGATCTAGTGGAATAACACCAAATTTGAGGTAAGAAAAGTAACTAGTGTTGCTCAACTTATAAACTATGGAATTTATTACATTCAGGGTAACTTTCTCTACTGTCTTACTGCTATCTATGGCTTGAACCAATTAGAGCAAAGGAGGAGATTATGGCACATCCATATGAACCAATAGGGTCATTGGTTATTAGTTGGTGACTTTAATAATATGTTAAAATCCATTGATAGAAGATGAGGGAACCTTGTGCAAGAGAATGAATACAAAGACTTTAGGTATATGATGGAAAGGATTGTCCTTAGTGAAATGGGAAGTTTTGGGAACTACTTCACATGGTCCAACAAGCACAGTGATAATATCATGTATTCTAGAATTGAACATGCCCTAACTAATGTTGATTGGTACCAAAAATAATTGGACACGACCCTACATATTCTGGCTCCTAGTTTTTTTATCACAACTTACTGCTCCTAAAAAATCTTGACGAGGATAGACATTTGATGCAATTTCACTTTAAGTTTCTTAACAGTGTGGTGGATATGGCTGGTTTTCATTAGGAGATTCTTAAGATCTTGAGCCTCCTCATTGAGGGTATCCCTATGTATGTGTTATGGAGGAAAATGATGAAAGCTCAAAGGGTCATCAAAGCCCTTAGCACCCCTATGGTAGGAGCTTCTCACTCTCTAAAAATAGCTAGGTAGAATTTGTTGGATATGCAGGATAAGTTGGTGCAACATATAGAGAATCCTAAGCTTATAAACAAAGTTAAAGATGCTACTGATGATGTGTTCACGTGGAATTCTATTGAGGATAAAAAATTCAAACAAAGGGCCAAGATCAATTGGCTTGGGCTGGGAGATGGAAACAACATATATTTTCATGCCCAAGTGAAGGCCAAGCAAAGTCAAAATGAGATGACTGCTATTTGTAAAGATGATGGCACCCTGCTTACAAATCCTACTGATATTGAAGCTGAAGTGCTACACTTCTATGGGAATCTTATGGGCAGAGCTAATGATAACCAGACTGGAATTGATATTGTTGTTATGAGAGAGGGGCCCTAAGTTTCTTATGAGCAAAGGAGAGTGTTGGAAATGCATGTTACTGAAACTGAGATCACTCAAGCCCTCCAAAGCATTTGCGACCTTAAAGCTCTTAAAGTTGATGGGTATGGTGCCAAATTCTATAAGGAGGCTTAGAGTATTATCAAGGAGGATGTCATCAAGGCAGTTATGGAATTTTCAACCAGAATAGTATGTACCCTGCTATAAATGCTACCTTGGTTTCTCTCGTTCCCAAAGGTAATTCTGGCAAAACTATAAAATACTTTCGACCAATTTCTTGTTGCATCATTGTTTACAAGATTATTTCTAAAATTTTGACTGGTAGAATGAACAAGGTTATGCATAGCATCATTAATCAAAGCCAGACTACTTTTGTCCCTGGGCATCACATTCATGACCATATCCTCCTGGCTTATGAGCTGATTAGAGGTTCTGGTAGGAAGGGTGGAACCCCTAGATGCATGATCCAATTAGACATCAAAAAAACCTACAACGTTGTAGATTGGTTTGCTCTAGATTGTATCCTCAAAGAGATTGGGTTCCCTACTGTCGCTACTGCGAAAATCGGCGCCGGCTTGACAGAAGAGTCGCCACCGTGCGTTATTTATCCCAACGGAGGGAAAGGAAACGCTCGAAGTAAACCTCGCAGAAAACGAGAAAGGTATGGTCATCGCAACCAAAACCTGGGTTCGGGAGTCGGTTACGCAAGGGGAAGGTATTAGCACCCCTCACGTCCGTCGTACTCGACGGGATCCATGCTTGGTGTTTATAAGGAAAAGGGTGTGTTTATCTATCTACGCTAGTGGTCAGTCTGAAAAGAAAAGAAAAGGACAGGACTCGACAAAACATACGCTGTTCTGGGCCTACGTACTCCCTCGTGCAATGGGAAAGTCAGAGTCAACGTAGTTCGACTACCTACGTCTAGACGGGGGGAAGGTTGCTCGCCAGGACATCGCGTCCTGTGCCTACGTACTTCCACACGGCATGGAAGATCAGAGCAAACGTAGTTCGGGCTACGCACGACACAAGCTGTTCAAGTGTTTTTTATGGGAAAATGCACCTTAACCAAGGGTTTTCACAGTCCAGGAGGACAAAAGGTTTTGATGTTTGTTCAAATCTTTTGACGGAAGAAATGAATTCACTTTTGTTTTATCCCTTATTAAGTGTTTTTCTGTTGTTTTGAGAAAGGAAAGAGACACCCTACAACTAGGATTGAAAAGGGAAATCTACCTAATGTTATCATGCCTGGTTAACCAACCTAATGTCTATCATAACTCCTCCACAGCAGAGAAGTTAGAGCTCCTAAGGGATCATGGCAACAGAACTAAACAGCAAACAGGAAACACTGCAAAGTAAAGAAATACTGGAAATATGCATGAACGCAACAACCAAACAAGCAAGTCATAGAGGCCACACATCACAGAGGCAAGGGAGCCCAGCTCTACCAAATACCAGCAAGCAAAGCCACTCAATAACAATCAGGCAGAAGGAGGACCACCTCAACTTCTAAGCAAACAAGCAGGCTTATTTCTAAGATGCACCTATCTCAGAAATATCTATATGAACCCCTAAGTATAATGCAGCACAGCACCATACAAGTCGATCAACACAAAGAGAAGGCTAACCAGCCTGGCAAATTCCTATCCAAAGGCTTAAGCCAAAACCCTGAGCAGGACCCCTAGACAAAACCATAATCAAACCCCTGAACAAAGCCCCTAATCAAACCCCTGAGCAAAAGCCCTACACAAAACCTTAATCAACTCTCTAAACAAAACCCTAAACAAAACTTCAAGCAAATCCCTAAAGCAAACCCCTACACAAGAGAAATCAATCCCAGTCTTCAAGCTTCAAGACAAGCTTACCAAAGAAAGGGAGCTAAGTGAGCAGACCCATAGTGCCTTCCTCAGGAAAATACTAGGGGGCTTCCACTTAGGAATCATATCCCATGTGGCTCAACAACTGTGAACGGTTTACATTCCTCCTTAGGAGAAACTAAACTCACATGAAGGCTCCAACATCATTGGATACTTAAGAAATCCTACATGAACTAAGGGAACTAAGTGAGCAGACCCATAGTGCCTTCCTCAGGAAAATACTAGGGGGCTTCCACTTAGGAATCATATCCCATGTGGCTCAACAACTGTGAACGATTTACATTCCTCCTCAGGAGAAACTAAACTCACATGAAGGCTCCAACATCATTGGATACTTAAGAAATCCTACATGAACTAAGGGAACTAAGTGAGCAGGCCCATAGTGCCTTCCTCAGGAAAATACTAGGGGGCTTCCACTTAGGAATCATATCCCATGTGGCTCAACAACTGTGAACGGTTTACATTCCTCCTCAGGAGAAACTAAACTCACATGAAGGCTCCAACATCATTGGATACTTAAGAAAGAGGTGAGAAGAAAGAATGAAAGACATCCATAGTGCCTTCCTCAGGAAGGTACCATGAATTTCCCTCAAACTTCAGGATCTCAAACCTCACAGAAAGGGAGCAAGCTTCTAGACTAGGTCTACAATCCATGCATCCTTGCAAGATCCATCAAGTCTTCATCCAGCCTCCATCTTCAAGAAGAAACCACAGGCCCTCAAACCAAAAGAAACTATCTCTAAAGTTCAACCACAGTTGAACTTCAAAGTCAGAAGCCCTCAAGACTTCTCCTATTCTCAAGCTCAATCAAAAATAGCAAAACAACTTCTAAAAATCCACCATAAATCTAGAGGAGACCTACATGTCTCCATGATCCCAAGATCAAATCTCAAAGCCTAAGTCAACTTCTAAGGCTACTAAACAATCCCTAACATGCGAATGGTCAAGGGTTAACCAACAAGTTATGAGGTCTCCACTCTCTAACCCTAAAACTACCTCAATCAATTTCTAAAAAATCTATGAAAAATCTATGGGGAGCATGCATCAGTCTAGTACAACATACTAAAAAACTAAAGCAAAATTCATTACCAAGCGAGAGAAATAAAATCAGCAAGGCAGACACATCACAAATCAATATTCAAAACCAATTAAAATGCAAAAAATGCAATAAAAATGAAAATGCATGATCAAATTAATATTTTTGAACCATAAAATCCTAAATTGAACTATGAACCTATAGAAAAAAGAAGGGAATTAATTGGATAATCCTACTATTTTTATGAATTATTTTCTAACATGGATAAAACAAAGAAATTTAAAAAAGAAAATAAAACAAGGGGGGTGCACTCAGCAAAAATATCTAGTTGCTTCTCAGCATTGGGCCAAGAAGGGGGGTGCGATCAGCACTTGTTCATTAAGCCCATTCACCGTTTTTTTTTAGCATTTTTTCACAGCCCAGGGGGGGGGGTATGGCGAATAAAGAGGGGGTAGTGATAGCAATTCGTCGGTTGGGCCCAACCCAAACTCAAACCCTAACCCAATCAAACAACTAACAAAACCAACCCTCACCCCAAAAATTCGTTCACTGTTCACTCCCTAACCCTAATGCGCCGCTGTTCTCCCAAACTCTCTCTCAAACTCTCTCAACAATGTCAAACCCTAATCGCATCTGAAACCTTTCAAACGCTATCCCTCACCACCTTTCATTCATGCAAACAAATCACACAGAAAACTCTCATCAGTCCACTATTACCCCCAAACCCTAACCCAAACTCAGGATCACCTTCAAAGAAAACTACATAATCATCTTTCATTAACATGCGATGATTCAGGGAACAAGAATAAAAACCTGGAGAACTGACGAAGGCGACGAAGCTGTGAAGAGTCTTGAAGGAAGTTGAACAAGCTCGCGGAGCTCTGGAAGTCTTCTGAAGGCAATCTTCAAAGAATCTGAAAAAAAACTCGAGGAAGATGGACGGTGATCTGAAGAATCCATGGAGGAAGATCTTGAACTTGGTGCGAATACGTAGGCGATCTTGCGAAGACAAGGTTCCGGAAAGTCCTTCTTCGAAGGTTTGCTTGAAGAATCTGGAGAAAAACTTGAACAGACGAAGAACGCGCTTGAAGATTCTACGGATTGTTGAAATCTGGAGCTGAAGAATGATGAAGATCTTGCGAATCTGGAAAACAGAGGTGGAGTTCTTGGCAAGCTTGAGTGTTGATGGATGAAGTTCTTGTAAATCTGAAGAATAGATGATGAGTATCGTCGTTCTGGAAAAACTTCAACACCGATGAAGATTCCGGCGGTCTATGCGTTTTCCGGTGAGGAAGTTGATGGAGGAGTGAAGAAGGATTTCTTGGAATTCCTGGAAATCTGCAGTTTTCGGCGGGATCAACAGACTCCGGTGACGGTTACGGTGACGGAGGGTGGTCCGGCGGGCGACTGCATGGCCGGCGGTGAGGGAGCGTAGTGGATTACAGGTGTCACCGGGAGGCTGATGGTTGGACGCGTGGCAGGGGAAGAATCTGGGAGAGAAACACGTGTGGCAGGAGAGAGGTAGTGGAGTGTGACGTGTTGCGCATGCACGAGTTTGGAAAGTGAGGTGGCTGGCGGAAGGGAAGGACATGTGGCACTCAGTATTTATAGACACCTGTACACCTGGGCTTTGACTGGACTTGGATAATGACTGACCCACTAAACCAATACCTGGACTAATGCATGATTATGGCACGATCAATGGATTAAGCTGACTATTAGATGCATTAATATGACACAAAACGTGATTAGTGGACTGAAATAAAATGTTAATTGTTGAATTAACGTGATGAGTGGATTAAGAACTATTAGATGAATGATTAAAGACTAAACCAAGTTAAATGCTAATGAAAAATGAAAATGCTAATGGATTAATGACCTAATCAGGATAAAACTAATTAAATCTAATTAAAACCAATTAATATCCTAGTTAACTCTAAAAAGATCTACCTATCATTTAAGAAAACTATAAAAACCTATATTAAAAAATAAAATCTATATATAAAATCTATATTAAAACCTATTCAAATAATGTTCTAAAAATTTTAAAAACTATTAATTTCTATCAATACTATTACCTATTAAAAGGA